ATGGTTATAAGAAATTAATCTAGGATCAAATCTTCTTTCATATCTTAACAGTCTGTAATAATCACATCTCATATACAATTGATTAGATTTTTGTTAGCCCAGTAATATCTGTTTACACAATTGAAAAACCTATTTACAGGATGAAAATAACTAGAGAGGGAGGGAGATTGAGGAAAGATTTGTTAAACAGTATTTAACAATAAAACATGAAATATCAGAGGGTAGTGAGCTCCTTTAAATCTCGTATAACAGAAAAGATCAGAATTTTTATCGGGGGCAGTGAGCTCCTTTAAATTGTCTAACAGAAAATATCAAAATTTTACGATGACCTTTACCATGGTCAATGTAAATTAGGGAAATAATTTTATAGAGTTCAAACTTGAAACAGATGTCATGAGCTCATATAGGTTGACTCAGATTTCAAAGGATGGAATCGAACTTTCATTAAAGATATATTTGTGACAACGACTTAAGCGAGCCAGGTAAGTGACCTTACTATCGGCATGGTTATATTTGATGTTGACACGTGCCCTGTGGTTCTGCACGTGTCATATATATTGATATGTGTGAATTGTTTGTGGATCAATATGCTTCCTATATGTTATGTTATGCTATAACATGTGGATTGTATGATAATAATTATGGTACGATGTGCTCAAGGATATGTTTGAGATAGGATACAAGAAGGATGCACAAAACGAAATGTAACGATAGGAGTAAGATATGTTCATGAAACGTTAAGGTTAGGTTACATACCGGAGTGCTGCTATGGATAGGAGAGATTGATGAAAGAATACGGTTAGGTTATGGGTAGAAAGGGATAGGTTTGTGATAGATTGATAGAACGATAGTGTTAGGATACGTTCTTGTGATGATATGACTAAGGTACATTACGTAATGATATGTCTGTGATAGGTATAAGAACGTTAAGGCTATGGTAAGTTAGAGAACGACATGACTATGAAGTCTTTACGTTATGACTTGTTTATGATATGATACATTGTATGCTAGATTATTGTGCTTAAGTACGCAGTCATGTGAACGTGAATGTATGCTATGTATGCTGTTTAGTCTGATGTGATGTGTAATGCATGTAACGATATGTTGTTCTTGAATGGTTATGGCATGATTGTATGAAATGTTTGAATGTAAACAGCATGAATTGTATGACATGAAATACGGTAAACTGTCTGGAAACATAACCCCGATAGGAATATGTATGAAATGTAAATTGAAAATGAGAAGGACATGAAGCATAGAACGTGACAGGGGGGTTATGTTCATTAATGATAACTGTAGAAGTAGTGGGGAACTCATGCATTATGTGTGTTCATGCATCTGGGGGGATACCCCTATCCCATCACGAGGGTACGGACGCATATATCCAATGGAAGGACAACGATCGTTATGCTTTGCATGACAGAATTCGAACCTAAGCGCGAAGAGCTCAATTAATTTCAAATCTGTCGCATTAACCACTCAAGCACATCAACATTTGTTAAAAAAATCTATGTTTAATTTCATAAATTATGTAAAAGTCAAATGGTCAATTTGACTTATTCTTTGTGGAGATTAAAGGGGATCGGGAATAAATCCCGTCCACAAACATATCGGGATTGAATCCCGGCCACAAACGTCTTTTTTCGGGAGACTATAAATACCCACAATATGTTATGTAAAAATTAGATTCGTTGATGAATGTAATTCAGATCTCAAATTGAGACGTTTTCCTTAGAAATCCGAGCATCATATTTGCCATTTCTAAGTTTCAAGCAATTCTTGTGGTAGAATTGCACCTGAGCCATTCAATCAAGCCTTGATCAAGTTATATTGTGGAGTGACTCAATTTAGAACAAGGTTCCAAATCTTGCTTCTAGAGCTTCGATCGTAAGAGGTAATCTAATTCTAGCCTTATCTCTTGGTTGATCCAAATTTCGCATAAGGAGGTGTTAATTACTTTGATTCAAGGGTTCTTGCTAAAATAAAAGCTTGGATTGTTGGGCTGAGGATTAGGTTGCCTTATTAGTGGTATTAGAGCCAGGTTGCATCTTTGTGGCCGACTCTAGAATTGATTTTATCTTTAATTTCCGCTATTGTTTATCGTCTCTTTAAATCTGTCATTTATTTTCTTACTGTCATTTCCAACGTTCTTCATTATCCTTCTACTTTGTTCTTAGTGTCCTGTTAAAGATCATATTTAGATCTTGAAAAAAAAAAAAAAAATTTTATCATATTGTCCTTAATATATTCTTATCATTAGTCCATTTGCACGTTTATTTGAAGATCAAATAAATTTCTATTCTCATTTTTCCTAAAACATATAAATCTGGAATTGTTGTGTTCGATCTTCACAACCATTTTCTTTGGAATTCATTTTTTTTTTAGGTGTGCAATTATATCCAAAAATATCTTTGTCCCTTATTTATTTGATCATTTCTTGGTTTTATTTTGTTGTTACTACATAATTACCTTGTCTTGATTGTCTTGAATAGCTCGCTACTATCAGAATTTCTTTATCCATATTATCTACCTTGATAAGAAATTATTAACTTTTCCAAATAGCCTACCTTTGTGTGTTAAACACGAGTGTTCCTGAGTGTAAAATCAGTAAGTTGAGTGTGTGAGGTCCTAAGCTTATAAAACTACTGTTTGTAAAATCATGAACCAAGACGAGAAAAATGGAGGGGAGATCAATGATTTAGTTGAAGAAGTCCAGAAGAATGAGAAGAAACTAAAAAATGGTATTCATTTGGCTTTTATTACAAGAAGACTTCTTAAAACTCATGATGTTGATGATCAAAGAGACAACCTATTTCACACGCGGTGTTTAGTCAAGGGGATTGCTTGTAGTCTTATCATTGATAGTGGAAGTTGCACCAATGTAGTAAGTACTATGTTGATCAAAAGGTTGCAAATTCCAACTCAAGATCATCCTAAATCTTACAAGCTCCAATGACTCAATGATAGTGGAACAATGAAGGTAATTTCCCAAGCTTTAATATCTTTTACTTTGGGAAAATATAAAAATGAAGTTATTTGTGATGTGTTGCCAATGCATGCTGGAGACATATTGCTTGGTCGATCATGGCAATTTGATAGGAGGGTTATGTATGATTGCTATTTGAATAGGTATTCTTTTGTAAAAGATGGTAGAAAAACCATTCTTGTACCTTTGAGTTCTGCAAATGTATTTGTTGATCATCAACATCATTCTCCATAACTTTGAGTTCTTCTTGTTTTATTTTGTTGTTATTTCATAATTAACTTATCTTGATTGCCTTGAATAGCTTGCTACTATCAGAATTGCTTTACCCATATATTAGCCTACCTTGATCATAATTTAGTCACTTTCCCAAACAGCCTACCTTTGTGTGTATAAACACGAGTGTCCCTGAGTGTAAAATCAATGAGTTGAGTGTCTAAGGTCCTAAACATATTTCACTACTATTTGTACAATCATGAACCAAGATGAGGAAAATGGAGGGGAGATCAATGATCTAGTGAAGAAGTCTAGAAGAATGAGGAGGAATTAGAAGATTGGATTCATTTGGCACTTATAACAAACAGACTTGTTAAAACTCAAGTTATGGAGGATGATGTTGATGATCAAAAAGACAACTTGTTCCACATGCGGTGTTTAGTCAAGGGTACTGCTTGTAGTCTTGTCATTGATAGTGGAAGTTGCACCAATGTTGTAAGTACCATGTTGATCAAAAGGTTGCAAATTCCGACCCAAGATCATCCTAAACCTTACAAGCTCCAATGGCTCAATGATAGTGGAACAAAGAAGGTAGTTTCTCAAGCTTTAATATCTTTTACTTTGAGAAAATATAAACATGAAGTTCTTTGTGATGTGTTACCAATGCAAGTTGGAGATATATTGCTTGGCCGACCGTGGCATTTTGATAGGAGGGTTATATATGATGGCTATTTGAATAGGTATTCTTTTGTAAAAGATGGTAGAAAAACTATTCGTTTACCTTTGAGTTCTGCAAACTTTATTCAAGGGTTCTTGCTAAAACAAAAGCTTGGATCGTTGGGCTGAGGATTAGGGTTGCCTTATCACCTAGTACAAGGTAAAATACCTTGGACCCAGCCTCCTATGACCATAATTCTAGATGGCAAGCATGCCTCCATGGAGAGCACGTAGTAGGCCTAGACAGTATAGAAAATGCCTTGGTACAAACCACATAAGTAGACCCAAGCAATATTGTTCATACAACCAAAGACGATCCCTATAGGAATTAAACACCCCTCAAGCAAACCATTACCTCAACTAAGTTTTGGTTAAGTTGGGAATTTGCGAGATAAAATCCACCAATAATGAGAATGAAGTGATGGAAGTCATGACTTCAAGGTTTGGTAGGAGTCTTCACGAACTAAGTTCAAGTTTATGGACTTCCAAAAGTGTGATGTGCCCTTTATGCCACTAATGAGATATGGGGTGTAGGATATTCCTATTGATGGATCACCTAAGGGATGACAAGTCGTTTTGGACCTAATGGATGACAATTCTTATTTGAAACTATAATTCTAGAATTTTTTGAACTTATTTGTTCTATATCACCTTAAAATTTCTAAGGTCCTCGTAAAAAGTTTGAAAGTTCAACTTAAAAAAATAAATCGGGAATTTAATACCTTGAGTGCTATACCATATGTAATTCATGAATTGCTTTCTCTATTTTATATTTTCTACGGGAAAGTATGCATATTTTGTTGTCCATTTTATGAAAGTGTTTTAAAAATCAATCAAATATTTATTATTCTTGGGCTAGTAACTATTATCTATTAGAGGAATTTTGTTATTGAAAATCTAATAAATCTGTAAAATTATCCCAAAATTAACCTTAAATTGTGTTGCATAACCGAAATTAGTTAAATCATTAAGTTTTTAACCACCATAGCATGCATTTACATAGTTTCTTGCATGTACTATAAGTATGTATATTTATTCACATGTCCAACACAAATTGGTAGTTAAGCTAAAGGTGTATTAGGAAATGATAAAGAATATTATCGCTTTCTTTCTTTTCACGGTGGCTTTAGTGGGGGCTGAGGTTCCAAGGGTCGCGTTACCACCACCAGGACCTTCTAGATATTACATTCATGTGGTTAACGGGCTAAGCAAACTTGGGTTGCTTGTGCATTGTCAATCTAAAGACGATGACTTGGGGTATCATCGTTTGCTTAATCATGGAGATGATTACCAATGGAACTTCAAGGTTAACTTTTGGGGAACAACCCTCTATTGGTGCAAATTGGAGACGCCACATGCATATGTCTCTTTTGAAAGCTTTTGGCCTGAAACGCAGCACTTATGGCTCCGTGATAGGTGCAAACATGGAACTGTAGGAACTTGTATTTGGACGGCTAAAGATGATGGAATTTACTTGAGAAACTTTCTTGCTAATGTTGATGAATTGATACACGAGTGGATCTATAAAAGATAGGAACAAATGAAAAATAATGGGATAACACAAAAAGGTTGTTTTGTTTTGTTTTGAAATGTATTTGATAATGAAGTGTATTGTTTTTCTCCAAAATTTTAAATTATGAAGAAAAAAAATTTAATTTGTATATGAATACAAGTTTTCAAAATTGTAATATCATTTTTATATTAAAACTAAAAAAATAATGAATTTTATTGACCAATCTTAGAGAAAGTTTAGAATAATAAAATCTAAAATAGATATTAAACGCTCATGTTACTGTAATCTTCACATCGATTTTAAAATAGGATGGTAGGCATAATCCTTGAATTTCCATATATCTTATTAAAAGTTTCACATATTATATTGTAGTTCCATAATCCTTGTTACAGCCTACGTATGCATACATGGACCCATCAGACGAATTGTTATACGTGCCCCTTACGCTGGACTTTGTCGGGCACAACACAATACACGTCACTGGACCCTCATAAAAGAAAAAGTCTTCATGATAACATGTCGAACATAAATATCGAAGGTATGCATACATACTAACATAACATAACGGGGAAGTATCCCAATACACATGACATACATACATGCACGAGGTCCCATAATTTTTATTCATAAGATAACATTTATTTCATTTCCTTTCTCCTTCCCTCCCTTATATATTTCATGTATGTATCACGCATACATGGATAAACATCACATAATCCATCACATAACTTTACATGGAAAAATGTAACATTTCATACCTATCATACCATAACATATACCATCACAATATATCATATCATAAACATGTCACTTATCACTTGTCTCGTACCATAACAAATTTCATATCTTTTTCATATCATATCACAATGTGTGTGTGTGTATATATATATCTGTCATTCAGGTGTCGTATCATAATCATATCATATCGTAAACTATTCATGGTCATATCGTAACCTAATTTATTACAGTCTTTACGTTCTTATACCTATCACAGTGATATCGTTTCATGAACGTACCTTAGTCATATCGTTACAGGAATGTATTTTAACGCTATCATTCTATCAATCTATCATAATCCTATCCCTTTCTACCCATAACCTAACCATATACTTTTATCAATTGATTGTGACCATATCGTTTTTATCAATCTCTCATATCCATAGCACTCTATACGTAACTTAACCTTAACGTTTCATCAACATATCTTACTCCTATCATTACATTACGTTCAATGCATCCTTTTCGCATCCTATCTCAAACATATCATTGAACACATCGTACCATAAGTATTAACATACAATTCACATATTATAACATATAACTACCATATCATAAGCATATCGATTAATAAACAATTCACCCATATCAATATATATGACACGTGCAGAACGATAGGGCACGTGTCAACATCAAATATAATCATGCCGATAGTAAGGCCACTTACATGATTAGCTTAGGCTGGTGTCACCAATTTATCATTGAGAAAGTTCGATTTTGTCCTTTATATTCAAGTCAACCTTTATGAACCATGACATCAATTTCAATTTCAATTCTCTAAATTTTACAATGCTCTCTGTTAGAATTCATGTGAGCATTAGAGTCTCTATGAGCGGAGTCTTGGAGGGAACTACCTCTCTTTTATCCCTAAAAGTGGGTAGGAGCGAATTCCATCTTGCACCTCATGTCCCCAGCAATTTACCCAGTCTTACCCCTGAAATGGGAGGCCTATTGAGTCGGCGAACTTGAGCCACTCTCACCCATGCAAATCCAAGGATAATTCCGAATAAACTGGAGTTCATGGTTAGCTTAGGATTAAGATTGAGTTACCTAGGTCATCGAATGAAAAGAAAATATGTCTCAACAGTAAACGACATTATAAAGTGAGAGTGATTTTCTTCATGGTCCGATCTTATGCAATACTCATTGCATAGGACGCCCCCACTCACATGTCTCCACTTGTACAATTTCAGTGATCACATTGTTTATATCATATACAAAAGTGGGCCCCAGAATAAGGTACTCAGCCTTATTCTTATACTAAAGATCATTTTGACTATATACTTGAACTTGATCAACTCTTATGTCTCTACATATAGTTC